ATTATTTATTTTTCGCCAAAATCTACCACTAGAAGTTGACAAAATTATTCATACCATTGGACTCAATAGCTGGCAACAGTATTAATTGGATGCGAATCATTGATGTCGACGACAAGTTTAACTATAATCCATTTGTTGATATGATACTGAATTAAACACATAAATGTTATAATAACAAAATGGAGTAGTTACTTGGATCTTGCTGCCTTTTCAAGTTCTTCTTGTTCCTTTTCTTTCCTACGATAAGCTTCTAATTCATCCCGTTCTAAAGGAACCCTCTTCTTAACCTGTAAGTATGAATTTTTGTTATTTATGGATTAAAATCGTTTAATTGAAATAAATAAATTAATTCTTATCTTAAGAAATATTAGCCATGGGGTATTCTTTCCCATTATACATGACAATATCCAATGACTAATTTGATTATAATGTGTAGAGATTTAATTTTTCACTGCCAGATACCAATATATAAAATATTATTATTAAACGCAACATTTTATATACTTTGAAATATTTGACAGCAAGTAAGAAATGCAATTAAAATCTTGTGAAACTGAAATTATTAAAAAAACATCGCCAAAAAAAAAAAAAAAAAAGAAAAAAAAAGAAAAGAGGAAAAGTCAGAGCTTGATGATTTACAGACATTTTTTAGAAAAGTCCACTGGTGTCAGCAACCAAACAGTTTCACGTGCAGCTTAATATGATCAGGAAGTATTTGAAAACTTCACCACTCACAGGATGGGTTGGATTTTAAGCCAAGCTTGTGAATGTGCTAGCAGACTAAAGCTTGGTCTGCCACTAAAAGCATGCTTATTCGCAGAGTTCCTTTTTCACCAAATGATAATTCCTATGTACTTATATTCTCTTTATTATTTTGAATTATTATCACGCATACTGTACAAATTTTATTATCATATGATAAAAGTAAAATAAATATTACTTGAATTGAATTGAAGTTTTGCACTAAGCCTCACCTTTAGCCAAAGCTTCTTCATTTGGCTGTTTTGTATGAAATCTCTTGATATTGTTCCTGGTGCACTTCTGCTGGTCAGAATAATACTGTTGTTAGGTTTATTACACCACTGCAGCAAAAGGTCCCTAGAGTACCCACACTCCAAGTCAGGTACACTTGCCAAAACAACCTAAGAATGTGTAAGTTTCAAAATTTTTATTATATCTATGCCATTCTTTACTTAGATAAATAAATATATTTGTTATTTCCAATTTCTGTTTGTTAAAAAGTTTACAAATTTAGCAAAAAAAAAAAAAAAATGTTGTGTTGCCCTCCTCGACCGACTGAAATTTTCCAAAAAACTTGAGAATGGAACGTGACGATGACAATGTATGCACCCAACATTGGATCTCTCACGCCGAGCTGTCAAGCCACGACCAGATCTAGGCATAGCCTATTTTTTACTACTGTACAACTTGTGGTTGCTTGAATCAAAAATCATATTCATTACCTCACGATATTGGACAATAAATAAAAACAGGCTTAGATTTAGCCATCGCTTTAAAGCCAGTACATAGCTAGACATTTTAGGCTTTGTTACGGTTTAGGCCAACCATGAACGACATATTTTGACATAAGTTTACTTCGATTGTATTAGATAGAGGGCGCTTGTTTGGACATTTTTCTTAGCCATAGTATAGTTTTGCTCAACCTACCCGCGCATGAGCGTGTGGATCAGATATACAAATTATTTTACGTTTGGTAGCCAAATAAATCTTAATTAAAACTGATTTATTTTTGTTAAATTTATTTCAATATACAATTGACTAATATTTGTTCTGTTATTACTTTGAAAATCTTTTGCTTGGCAAGCTTGTTATCGTTCTATTGTGGTGCCTACGATGTCTTAGGCCTAGGGATCTTCATAATAGGGACTGCAGTTTGAGGCCTATCCTATTTCAGGTATTACTAAGAATACCCAAAAAAAAAAAAAAAAATATCTGATTGATTGACCGGCGATCACAATTTTTATCATTTAAGGGCAACACAACAATGTTTGTGTCTACTGCCCCCAACCCCCATGTAGACACTATGTCATGATGTAGCAATTAAAGATGGCAGAAAAGGGTAAATCTGGTTTAGGCATGATGGGTACTACTACCACGAGGTAGGGGGCGCTCTATTGACAATCGAATAGCGGTCGGAACTCGAACAAAATTGCGTTCAATCCTCGAACACAGGTTACAGAGACGAAGCACGCGTTCGCCACGAATGACTTTTACCGTCATTTGAAGGACGCCCTCTAGAACATGGTAGTACTTTTTGTGATCAACGACATAACGTGGTAACTCCCAAAGTTACTCATTTTTAAAGTGTTTTTAGTGTAATATAGTAGTAGGCCTGTACAGAATATTGTTATGAAAGAAAATTTTCATTAAAAATCCAGATATACTACAATAATACACACATCTGCATATTGAAGAACATAAGATACAATTAAAAAACAAAAATTCCTGTATAAGGCAGTTAACACACGCTCCCGCTGGGAACCTATTGTTGTTTTTTTTTGCCTTATCATAAAACAAGCTTAATCATCTATTTTAATCATCTATTTTAATCATTTTAGGCACAAGAGCCTAAAACCTGGATTGAGGAATATTGTTGATATATTTTTGAAAAGTAAATTAATGACTCTGTGTTACTTCATACAGGGTCAATCTTTACCTTAGGCTCTGGTACT